AATATTATAAACTTAGTTTTTCCAACCCTCTCAAAAATAATAGCTTTTATTGGAATCTTGTTTAAATATACATCATTGACTTGAAATAATCTCACAATGGAATAAAATTCCAAGTGCAAACTTTACTTTCCAATATATCTATTAACGACATGTTCCTTCTCCTAAAAGTCTCAATTTTGTTAGGTGAGTTGTTATATAAATGAAATTTATCATATAAATTAAATTAATGTTCATTACTAATGTGCCCATCATATCATTCATTTCCTCCTTTGACCTTCACCAAAGTAATTTGTTGATCAGATTAATTACCCACTCTTACCTTATGTGTGTGTGTGTTAACTCTGGTAGTTAATGCTGCTATCTAGTTATAAAGCAAATAATACTCAAGTATTGCGAGTAGTCACCAACAAAGGAAATAAACATTTCACACATTAAAACATAAATTTATGATAGTACATATGATTTTTAACTAATCATACTCCTTCAAGTTTATTTAAGTGGTGTGATGGTCTACCTATTTCTTAATACGCTCCTTGTTTCTATATATGAGAGAAAAAAAATGTATCACACAATTTAAGAAATTTGGTTATAATCATAATAATTATGTCTGAAAAAAAAAAAGAAATTAGACTAAAATGTCCTATGTTAATTAATATGAACATGCATTAATTATTTCTCGTTAATGTAAATTATGAGAAATAATTTAACAAATATGTAATAAATGTTTATTGAAATATGTGATTTTGCTTATATTAAAAAATGAGTAAAAAGTGATAGTTTCTTTTATAAATAAAAACGGATGGAGTACAAATCATACATTAATACAAGTTGATAAGGTTAAGAGATAAATAACATTCTTTATAAACCCTTTTACTGGGAATATTTGATTAATTTTCTATGCCACGTAACTTAAAGAAATATTCTTTATGATAAGTTTGAATTATATGAGATCCCAAATATACTAATATCAACAGTATATCCATTATTCTGCATTTAAACCTTCTTAAAAGGCATTTCTCTTTATATGCGGCTTAGCCTCTTGGAGTTATTAGTAATTTAATGGTCCTCATTTACTATCTCATTATTTTTCAAAATTGAGCCAAAATTTCTTGCATATACCCTTTACATCATACGCTTAATATCTAAGAAGGGTACAATGACTCATTACTATGAGACAACAAAATCAAGGATCTCTTGCGCCAAGATTAATAGAGATCTCTTATGTCAATATACCTTATGGAGAACTGGCTAATTTATAGTCAATTGTCCTTTAACTTATAATTGGCCTTTGACTTTGTTCCATCCATCACACATCCATATTAATCATCTCTTAATTAAGGCTATTGTATTAAGACCATGAAATTTTATCTTACAAATGCCACTTGACCTCACTTGTTGATATTAATGGACACCAAAACTCTATTTATATTAGGATCATTTCTATTGAGAAATTATATATGCATGCATGCATGTATATATGTAGAACTCTTTTTGCACTCAATAATTGTCTCTAACCAACGTGATCTTAGTAATTTTAACAATTTAAAAGACAATGATAATGCTGCAAATTAAAATCAGAAATTTAACACTAATCATGCTCATACAAATACTATATGAGGCAATCAACCTTTATATTTACCATCACATTTAAGTGAATGTTTACCAATGTAAAACATACAAGCATAAATTTTGTATCATTGAAATCTACCTAAGGGTAAAAACTTTACAGTAGCATAAATTTATGTCCAATATGATAAAACTAGAATTCATTTACAGTTCTTAATACCTATGGGATACTTAAGAACATGTAAGGCCAATTCTATTCCATCCTCATTAATTAGGCAGCTATAATTATCTCCTGGTAGGAAAAGATAAACTATAATCACAAATTTAAGTACAATTGATATTATAAGATCCATATGTGATTAATCATGCATAAAATGATAATGATGTGGCTACTCCTTAATTAAAGAAGAGTGTGTGCTAATCACAAATATCAAACATGTGCACTTGAGTTTAATGCATATGCATATACCCTAATGAGTAATGAGAATCAATCAATCAATTTAATAAACTATTTTGCTATGTGATTAAATAACTAGAAAAATATTGGGAAATGGCAATAAAATTCCACCAAAATATATAAATAATAATTAAATCTCTCAAAATATCATAATTCATCTAAAATCCCTGGGTATCTTTCCAATATTAATCAGTTTAGGTTAAATGACTCAATTGCCCCTTGTGTAAAATTTTAAAAAAAATGATGGGTTCACGTAGAAAGTTGTGCTTTTTTGTTTAATTTTTGTGATTTATAGAATGAAAGTTGTGATTGTTATTTTTAAAACTTGAACTTCAATAATACAAAAAAATTTCATGTGGGAAGTTGTAATTTTTTTATTTAAATTTTGTAATTTATACAATATAAAAGTTGTGATTGTTTAAATAAAAACTTTGAGTAGGATTGATTATTTTCAAAACTTATTTATCAATTATAAAAAAAATTTCACGTGAAAAGTTGTAATTTCATATTTAAGTTTTATGATTTACAAAATAAAAGTTGTGATTGAAAAAATAGAGCCAAACCCATTATTTGCATTTTAGACAAGAGGCAATTTAGTCATTTAATTTAAAATCATTAATGTTAGAAAGTTACTTTAGGACTTTAAAAGAATTGTGACATTTGAAGAGACCTGATTATCATTTATATATTTTGGTTGAATTTTATTGTTATTTTTTCAAAGATATTCTCCCACTATTTAATTTACCAAATAATCAATTTCAACAAATTATAACTCAACATAATTTGAAAAACTCAAACAATCATGTAATTTCCCATCTAGTGTCCCAAATTTTCAAACAATAAAATTTCAATAAAATAATTTTGCAAAATTTTATAGTATGTTAAAAAAGCTAAAATTAAATCCGCAGAACATTAAACAATTGAATGGCACGTAAAATAAATTCTCGCATATACAAATTGAACGGCAAACATATATACACACACATATATTGACAAAAACATGATTTATGTAGCTCAAAAATAATTTCCGCAACTATACCAAAATGGCCCAAAAACATTTAGATCTCAGAATAGGGCCCAAAATAATTTCCATAAAATAAAATCATCAATTTAGATGAACAATAAAATTTTGAAAAAAGCCATAGCCAAATAAATTTATTTATCCCAAGATAATTTCTGGAATCCAACGAAAAATGCCTTAATTAACAAAATAATTTTAGAAATCCAAAACTATTCCTTTTCCAGGCTAGAATAGCTAATTCAGAAGATTTTTTTTTGAGAAAATTGTTTTAAGATCTCACTCAAGACAATTAATTACTTTCAAGTTCATTGATTATTTGACCATTATTGTATTATTTTTTTAAATTCAGTTGCTAATGAATTTGAAAGTAATTAATTACATTAAGTGAAACTTGTATAGTTTTTGTAAAAAAATAAAAAAATACCATAACTATTCAGCCCAAAAATTGGCCCAAAAAGAAAAAAAGTGATGGAAACTGAGGAGCAGTTGTCACTAGTCAATAAACCCTCTCAAAGTATGACAATTTATTGTATGTTAACTCAACCTCTATTTATAACCGACCCTCATTATTTAATTTAGATTGAGCAAATATCTAAATCTAGATACAATTAATTAATTGGGGCCACACTCAGGATATTTTATTATCCTTAATGATATCTCGTAATTCAATGATATCTTAAACTGGGATATTTGATTTAAAGCAATTTTTATAAATATTATACAAATATATATATAATAAGAAATCTATTTGTCACAGTATATGATATGAAAATTAGGAATTATCTAACAGGCAATAGAATCTGAGGAGGAGGAGGACAAATATGAAATATCAACCTGCTCCCATCTCCCGCCGCGCAATACTTATATACGGAGGGCATGATTTCCGTTTTCCAATAATTGAAGGCTTGGACGATTGAAGGGACTTTGACAGAGACTCCAACGGTGCTTCGCAAAACTTGTGCATCAATATCCCCTTCATTATTCTTCTGCCATATAATTATAGCCTGAGAATCTTCTGAAATCAATCTCTTTAAAAGATAGCGAAGGCGAGATCTTGCTATTGTCATCAACGCATAAAAAGTGCATAAACTTGGCAAACTTTAGAATATACTGTGTGACTGTGTGTGTATATACTAGAAAATTGGGAAAATATTTCGCAGTTCGCACAGCACAATGACCAAGAGTGTTCTTTAAATTATTAACCCATAATTCCATGACAATTGAACCGGCCGCGTTCAAAGAGATTGGCAACTGTAGATTTAACTGTTACCAATCTCTCCGCAAACAAAGCTAAGGATTTGAAATCATTCCAATTACGAGTATCTAATAACTCACCACTTGTCATGGCTGAAATTAAACCCTGGATTTTCGTATAACTATATTAATTAATTAATTAATTAATTTTAATTAATGCCTATATATGACTTCAACTTGCACGTGCCCCCCTTCCCAGCAAAATTATTATCTATTGTATTCACTCAGTGCTGCTTATTTAGTTCTGAAATAGGTTAAGATTTATTTATGAAAAAAATAATGCAATCCTACAACTATCAAAAGAAGTTTTTAACCAAAACAAAGTGCGGCACACTGGTGTGTCACCAGTCATGAGACAAGTGCCACGTAAAACGGAATAGCTTGACCAGACAAAGCATCCGTGTCCTCCATTTCTTGGTGTGCAACTTGAAAAAATAATAAAACAAATGGCTCCAGATTCACGTACCAAAATTTATCATGTTAATTGTGCATTTAACTGCTATTATACATAGTATAGGGAAACTTGCTCAAAAGGTCCTCCATTCACTGATTAACGTCCTTTACCAGGGACAAATCAGGTCCTTGTGCACAATTAAATTGGTGAGGGAGGACTTTTGAGCAATTTTTCCTAGTATATAATAATGGAGGGGAAAAAAAACGTAAATTTACACATTAATGTATGCCGGGCGAAATCAAAGTAAGAAGAGCAAAGAGTCACAGGCTGACAGTACTAAGAAAGGGAAAGCATAGCGGTGACGCGTCACGTGGCACCCAGTATAAAGAACCAGCAGTCCAGTTACAGAGGCTGCATGAAGATGTGATAACACGCAACAAAATCTTCTTTGGACGGAAGCCTTTGCGTTGGCTTTGAATTTTGATAATGGGGTTCGAGGGCTCGTGATTCGACATTTTCCATTTTTCAACGCCAACTTCATTGGAAAGAGAAACCGAATTCGTTTCTGAAGATAATAAAACTCTCTCGCTCTCACAGTAGCCTCACTGTGATCTCAGATAGAAATAGCAATGGCGACATTGCAGTTACCTGTGAATCCAACCAGAACGGATGCATTTTCTCGTTGCAATTCCATTTCTGGACTTATCGGCCTCACCTCCAAATGCTCCAAATCGAGGCTGTTGCTGATCGGAAGGACGGTGAAGTCACGGTATCTGAGGAGGTCTTTTTTGGTGAAGAATGTCTCCAGTAGTGAGGCAGCGCAGACACTGAAGGATCCTGGGCAAGGTCTGAATTTTTTTTTCCCCTCTCTCTAGCCTGAATTTTCTAAGGATTTTTGATGATTCAGATCTCTGATGTTTAGTCCATCTGCAGATTAGGTTTTGACTTTTGATCCTATTGTTTTAGTCTCAGCTTTGGTTGCTTGATAGTTAATACGTAAGCCGTAGGGATAATGAATGGTTATACAATTCGAGTGATCTCATCCTTTTTTATTCCACTGGAATTTTGTATTTGCTCGTTTCAAAATTCTAGAAACATTTATTTCACAGTGAATCTTTAGACTATGACTTTTTTAAACTTTTGCATGGATTTTATGACACGGTATGCCATACTTTCTCTTCCTACATTTTACCTTGTTATCATAGAAAAAAGATTGAAATCTTAGTAGCCTGTCAGGAACGCATCATAAGTTCTGCTCTATCTTGATATCTCAATTTTCAACCTTCAAGTTCTTATCCAACACATTCGGTGGTGTCCAAAGCTGCTCCAGGGATGTAGTTGTAGGATTGGTTGTTGAGAATCATCTTAGTAAGCTGGCTTATTGTTGCAATGAGCCATGGCATGTTACTTAGCAGTTCATAGGTTTGGATCTTTTTTTTGTGATGACATGGTAATGTGTTTTGTTGCTGGAGATGTGGTATACTGTAGTCAAGAAGCAGTCCCTACACAAGATAAACTTTGTCCAAGCGAAGGACAGCTATTTTCAATTTTTTTTTTTGGTTTCTGTATATTTAATTGGGTGTGGGAACTAGAGATGACATGGAAGCATTTTGATAGAGATTAATCCTCACTTTTGCGTGTTACTGACAATTATATAGGGTTTAGAGTGATCTCATTAATCGTTACTATTTGTGGATTGTTTTAGAAGCTGCTTCAACCACCCTCATCCCAATGACACAAGACGCTGAGTCTATTGCCTCGAGTATCAAATACCATGCAGAGTTCACTCCAATGTTTTCTCCTGAGAAATTTGAACTTCCGAAGGCTTTCTTTGCAACTGCACAGAGTGTGCGGGATGCGCTCATAATAAACTGGAATGCTACTTATGATTACTATGACAATCTAAACGTTAAGCAGGCATATTACCTTTCAATGGAATTTCTTCAGGTTTGTGAGGACTTTAACCGTAAGAATATTTTGACAACCGTTCAAAACATTTTTCATATTTAAAACTTGTTTTATGTATCATTCTATCTTTCAGGGTAGAGCTTTGCTTAATGCAATTGGAAATCTAGAGCTCACTGGTCCCTATGCAGAGGCATTGAGCAAGTTTGGTCATAAATTAGAAGATGTGGCATGCCACGTGAGATATTTCCTGTCTTAAAACATGTCTTTGTTTAAATTTTATAGTGCCATTTTGTGTTTTCTGTATTTGTTGGCTTGAGTCATTGTCTGTCTAATGCAAAGCATCTCAGCATCCAATCGACCGTTTTCCTAATTTCACCTTCATGGGGTAAGGCTAACATAAAAGCTTCAGAACCTTGTATGAAAAATCATATAAATTTACAGCACCTTGCGATTCTCACTTATGAGACAGACAAGGTTCATTTTGAAGTCATCTACTATGTTGTTGGTTTGGTCATTGTTCACACGAGTGGAGAATGATAGGAGCTACATTATTATAATAATTCAATGTCTTGCTCTGACTGTTAAAAATGCTCATCAAATTCCATATATATATATATATTTGAAATTTTGAGGTCCAACAATAGGTAATATAATGTGTTAAAGTGAAGCTCAACATAATAATAGCTGAAGCAAGTGTAACGAAATATCTGTACTGCAAATAAGCATTACAGTCTTCACCATGGATGAGAATTCTTTTGCAAAGGAGTTCTTCAAACTTTCGAGAAAATACACACTACAGTTTCAACGGCTGGGAGACGTGCTGCATTGTCTTATCATGTTCCTTTTCCTGCTTCTTTTCTTTGAGACGTTTCAAGACTGTACATGTTGCCACTTCTCTACCACCAAAGCAACGAGAGAAGTCTACTACTATTTCTTTAATATTTTGGTGCACTTTCTCTAGTGGAGTTATTATCCTTTTTGGATGATTATATTAGGAGCCAGATGCTGCACTTGGAAATGGGGGTCTTGGGAGGTTGGCCTCGTGTTTTTTGGACTCCTTGGCAACCTTGAATTACCCAGCATGGGGATATGGACTTAGATACAAGTATGGCTTATTTAAACAGCTGATTACCAAGGATGGACAGGAGGAAGTTGCTGAAAGTTGGCTTGAGGTTTGCATGAGTACTGATCAACAATTTGTCATGTCATATATCAGACTTTAACATATTAACTTTAGGCCTTTTCATACTCTTAACATTTTCCTTACTTGAAACCTTTTCTCACAGATGGGCAATCCCTGGGAGATTGTCAGAAATGATGTCTCGTATCCTGTAAAGTTTTATGGCAAGGTCGTTCCAGGAGCAGATGGGAAAAAACATTGGATTGGGGGAGAAGATATAAAAGCTGTTGCACATGATGTTCCAATCCCTGGATATAAAACTAAATCCACAATCAACCTGAGACTTTGGTCTGCAAAGACTGCATCAGAAGATTTTGATTTATATGCTTTCAATGCTGGCAAGCACACTGAAGCATATGAGGCTCTAGCAAATGCTGAAAAGGTACTTTGGATGCATTTACCATGTGTAACTATATTTCATGTGGTCTGTTACTATATTTCACAGTCTGTTATATTTTATTAAATAACTTCTTTCAGAAAAGGTAATTAAACTTGAATCTGGTAGAAGTGTTTGAATGAGTAATGTATATCATGATAGCATCTAAGTTGCTCAGCCAACTGACAGTAAACGTATAGCTTTCTTAGATTATATCTTCACTATTTAGTAAGTCTCTATCTAATGATCCATGGAACCTTGGAGGCTATGTCCTCTTCAAACTAGTTAGTTGCTACTTCTTTAAAATGTTAATGGGAAATGAAACTACATTTTTTATATTGTTCTGTTGCAAATGCAGATATGTTATATACTCTACCCTGGTGATGAATCAATAGAAGGCAAGATCCTTCGTTTAAAGCAACAATATACTTTGTGTTCAGCTTCTCTCCAAGACATAATTGCACGATTTGAGAGAAGATCAGGAACAACTGTGAATTGGGAACAATTTCCTGAAAAGGTTGCAGTGCAGATGAATGATACTCACCCGACCCTGTGCATCCCAGAGCTAATGAGAATCTTGATAGATGTAAAAGGTTTAAGCTGGAAGGATGCTTGGAATATTACTCAAAGGTAACGTAATGGTTCATTTTTCTTTCTGCATTTCTTTTACCAAATATTATTTTATTGATTGAAAGCTTGTTATCTGCCACAATGATCAAGGACTGTAGCATATACAAATCATACTGTTCTGCCAGAGGCATTGGAGAAGTGGAGCTTGGACCTCATGCAGAAATTACTTCCTCGCCATGTTGAGATCATAGAAATGATTGATGAAGAGGTAATATTGAAATATCTCCATAGAACTCTTACTTTAGAGTTTGGCCATTAACTTGTTTCTGATGTTCATTCTTTGCAGCTGAGTCAGACAATAATTGCTGAATATGGCACAGCAGATTTAAACTTATTAGAGAAAAAATTGAAGGAAATGAGGATTCTTGAAAATGTTGAATTACCTGCAGAATATGCAGATTTATTTATTAAACCCAAGGAGGCTGTTGCTATTTCTAGTGAAGGGCTTCAGGATGCAGAAGAAGATGGAAAAGAAGAGGAGGAGGAAGAGGAGGAAGAAGCAGCAGCGGCAACTGGTAAAATGGATGGAACAGACGAAAGTCACACTGAGGATGAGGAGGAGCAGTTGCCAGAGCCACTACCTGAACCACCAAAATTGGTCCATATGGCTAATCTTTGTGTTGTGGGCGGTCATGCAGTGAATGGGGTTGCAGAGATACATAGTGAAATTGTGAAGGATGAAGTATTCAATTCATTTTATAAGGTGAATATGTCAAATGGCTTCGCCATTGAGTGGTTTGGTTGAGGGAGGTTTTTCTAATTATGCTCTTATCCATTTTCTTTGTTCAGGTTAATTACGAACTTAAGATTTTTATAATTATGGAAAAAGCATAGAAGCAGTTATTTCCATCTTAGCCACTTTTAAACAATCACATATTGCTTTTTCCATAAATATGACTTCCCACTTTTTTATCTTCCTTTCTTACCAGTCCTACAAACTTTTTCCAGCAATTCCTTCTTTTCTTAAAGTTTGGATTTATGATGAGACCAAAATGAATTGTTTTCCGTATCATTGACCTCTGCACTTGCACAGTTGTGGCCTGAGAAATTCCAAAACAAGACCAACGGGGTCACACCAAGAAGATGGATCAGGTTTTGCAATCCAAATTTGAGCAACATAATAACTGAGTGGCTAGGAACAGAAGATTGGGTGTTAAATACTGAAAAGTTGGCTGAACTACGAAAAGTAATTATCTAATCTTTCTCTTTGGTACAATTATGAATCTTATGGTTGTGAAATTGAAACATAGATATTACTTTTTAGTTGTTGGTTTCAACCTCTTTTTTTCCATGATGCTTCTAAAATGCTTGTATACAATTTTGATCAACTCACCAAATTGAATTGAGAATACCATGTATATGGCTTTTTTTCCTTTGGCCTAATGTTGATAGGATTGAAAGAGCAAGATGAAATTGGATCAGAGCTATAGGAAGTCCAGCTCAAGAGATCAAGGATCTATATATATATAAAGGAGACTCAAAAACATATTACACTTTAAAATCATGCCCATTTTTGCACTGGAGTATTTTCAATAAATTAAATGAGCAATTTTTTTTTTTTTTGGTGAACATTCAATGAGAAATTTTAATACGTAAGACATGCCCAAATTTTCTAATCTGCTTAGAAGTTTCAAACCTAAGAATTGAAATTAGGAATTGAAATCCTTAAATGCAGATTTTTTCAGAGTAAACAACAGAAAATCAAGAATTGTGGCTACTTCTAGTAGTCTTCTAAATGTATCTACCCTGCACCACCAAATATCCTTGAATACAACAATTTCAAATGAAAATATATGTTCCGCCAAAGCATATCAAATATCTAACTCATTAATTGTATATAAATTCCTACTGATTCTAGGGTGTGCCTGATATTATTGAGCTTCCTTAACATATATATTAGGCGTGACTCTAAAATTGGTGTTCACTGCTTCTTCAGCTGAAGGAGTCTGCATTTTATATGGATTGTAATTTGTAGTACACCTTGAAATTAGTATGCCATGGTTCACTATTTACCCCTGTTGTGTATTTCCTGCATCTTCAAAGTCAGTTAATGTTCTATTCAATTTGATTTCTTAGTGTTGATAATTCATGCTGAGCAGATTAGTGGCATGTATTTAGTTTGCAGATAATGAGGATATGCAGATCCAGTGGAGGGAAGCAAAGAGGAGTAACAAGATGAAGGTTGTTGAATTTCTCAGACAAAAAACAGGGTATTCTGTCAGTCCTGATGCAATGTTTGACATCCAGGTCTGATGCTGTCTTAGAATTTTTCTTTCTTGCACATCCACTTTTGATTGGGCTAAGTTTTAAACGTGGTGTAGAACCTCAATGAGGAAGTAAAGGATTTAAAAGGTGTATCATGATTGTCTATATCTGAAACGTTACAGCTAAAATCTTTGGCAGCCCTTTGAAGTTTTTGTCAGCTTAATGGATTAATTCAACTGGATTAATGGGATTGAATAATGCCATATGCTAAGTGTGCATTTGTACAAGCTATTCATAGCCAACTTTTTTAAATTTTGAAGCTGTCCCTGTCTCCCTGCACTGTTGTTGCTTGTATCAACAGTTTATAGTTTATAACTGTAGCTTTTGTCCAACTGAATGGACTTATTTAGGTAAAGAGAATCCATGAATATAAGCGACAGTTGTTGAACATTCTGGGAATTGTTTACCGCTACAAGATGATGAAAGAAATGAGTGCTGCTGAAAGGAATGCAAAATTTGTTCCTCGAGTTTGTATCTTTGGGGGAAAGGCATTTGCTACATATGTGCAGGCCAAGAGAATTGTGAAATTTATCACAGATGTTGGAGCTACAATAAATCATGATCCTGAAATAGGAGATCTTCTTAAGGTAAAAATGACTTTCTTTTTTGAGAGTTCTTTTTTCGTTTTTGTACTTCTTCAACAGCTAATCCATTTAACATTGTCATATTAAGCTGCTACAGGGTAACATACTGATATTAAACTTGGTAAATGGTTCTCAGGTTTCTGCTGGGTCATCTGTTTGATTCTGATGGTTTACAAGCACTTTGCTGTTGTACTGTGAATTTATAATGAATGTGCAAAGTCACAGACAAACTTGATTGTACCTTAATGAGAATAAAATCTTGCTAGCGGAAGCCCATTATATGTGGCAGTCCGAGGCCCACATGTAAATTACCCAAAGATAAAGGGAAAAAAATGAAAAGGAAGAGCCAATTAAAGTCTCAAAACATTTCATGAACTGTGTATTCATGACAGTACGCCAATTAATTTGAAATCTTATTCAGCAAATTTTTCTTTTGGCTAATGCAGTTTCGAGGTGCCTTTATGGCAATCTTGAGCTTCATCATTAGTCCTTCCACTCTCATCTTTGATATCAGCTTCCACCTTAGGATAAATCACATTTTTCTTTTAACTTGGTCTACAATATAATTCTCTTAAATGATTATGGACCTCAATCTTTTGGGGAAAAAATTACAGATGGAGTTAATAAAGATCCTAGTAGCTTTGCCAATTAACCCTTTTTTTTTTTGGCCAAATTGCCAATTAACACTTGACACTATATATTTTAGGTGGATTTGTTGCATTGCTTCTTGTTTCTATGATGCCTGTACGGCTGTATCTGATAAAATGTTTATGAACTTGCAGCAAAGTCTTTATATTGTTTTGAAGCCTTTTATTCTTCTTGGAAACTTTCATTACTAGTAATGCCACTTAAATAATGACAATCCATGGAAAGCTTTGCATGTAAACTTGCGAGAAGTTACTTGTCAACCTTGATATAGTTTTTCAATAAGACATTTGAAATTTTCTTATAAAAAATAAAGCTTGTCAACATCCCAGTTATCTAATATGCTACTTTTACAGGTAAAACTGTTCTTTTTCATTGATTAAATTGTAAAAATTAGGAGAGAATTTACGTGAATGATTTGCAAGTTTTGCTTAAGAACTCTGTATTTTATTGTCTAATATGCACTTATCTTTTTAGACCTTGGTGGTATGCTAAAATATCTATGATAAAATGGTTCTCGTCGAAGTGAAATATTTTTAGTCATAAATACTATAAATATTTCTCATTGTTCTTTGTTTAGTCATTTTTCTGCTTATTATATCATTTATAATATTATATCATTCATTTATTCGTGATTATTCAGGTTGTTTTTGTCCCTGATTACAATGTCAGTGTTGCTGAGATCCTTATTCCTGCAAGTGAATTGTCACAACATATCAGGTAGTTTTATTTGCTATATTTGGTTATATATATAGATATAAATTCTATTCTTTTGCTGGTTGCTTCTTTATTGGATTTATGGTCAGGCTTACCAGTCTCTGCCATTTTTATAGATCCCAGCTTAAAGCTTGAAGTGGTTGTTTTTCCTCATAAGCATAAGCTGATAAGCACCTTTTGTTAATGATATATATATATATATATATATATCTATATAAGGAAAAATATTGATAGAGAGAAAAGAAAGAACAGCTTGTAGGATAGGACAGCCTCAAACACGAAATAGCTAAAAAAACATAAAAGCATATAGCCCTTTAAAGCTAATACATGTAGTAGAGCTGGGCAATCTCTTTTCGCATCAGGTAAAGTGATTCCCTTATCAAACCCATATGCAAAGTATCCAAGAGGAGCTGTATATAAATGTCATACCGCAAGATATGCTACAGTTAAGATATGTGCCTTCTGAAAATGCATTTAAACCTTTCCAACCTTCCTAATCAGAGAATTCATGAATTACATATTGTTGCAAAGTTATCCTGTTAGTTGATGCCAAACTTTTAAATAACTCAAGAGAAACGGTTCTTGCGATACAAGGACAATGTGTATTAGTATCGCATTGAGTTTTGTGAGTCAAACTATTTTTGGATGTTAGGACAATGTATATCAGTATCACATTGTGTTCTGTGAATCTATTTAATTCGACCAAGAATGGAGCTGTAGAAGTAATCTCCAAATGGTGGGACATTATAGTTAATATCACTATTTCTTTGATCTCTAGCCACGGTGTCTAACCTAGTCCTTCCTGTTTACCTCCATCTTTAGTACTGCTGGAATGGAGGCCAGTGGAACAAGCAACATGAAATTTGCCATGAATGGCTGCTTACTGATTGGAACATTGGATGGGGCCAACGTTGAAATAAGGGAAGAAGTTGGAGCAGACAACTTCTTCCTCTTTGGTGCCAAGGCTCATGAAATTGCTGGACTTCGGAAAGAAAGAGCTGAGGGAAAGGTTAGTCTTATACTGTTACTTATCCAATGCCTACCTGGTGAGCCATTGTACTCTGTACTGTTGATATTCTTGATGCCATTATGTTTGGAGCAAAACACGATCCTCCCTACAAGTTTTATGTTTTAGTCATTGTCAGATTTTCTTTTTTCAAAATAGAAAATCCTGATAAGTGGTTTTGCACAAATTTTTTGTTGGTGAAATCCTGAAAGCGTGTTGTTTCCTTTATAACCTTAGCTGGCCTTTTGATGTAGTTTGTGCCTGATCCAAGATTTGAAGAAGTTAAAGAATTCGTCAGAAGTGGTGCTTTTGGGCATCACAACTATGATGAATTGATGGGATCGTTAGAAGGAAATGAAGGGTTTGGCCGCGCGGATTATTTCCTTGTGGGAAAGGACTTCCCCAGCTACATAGAATGCCAAGAAAAGGTCAATGAGGCATATCGAGATCAAAGAGTGAGTTCATGAATTTTTTTTTTTTTTTTTTTATTCACGTGCTGATAAACTCCGCTGTACTCTAGAGTTCATGAGATGTTCACGACCCAGGGGAGCGTGAGCTAACTCCATGTTTGTTAATCACACGCCCAAATTATATTTTCGTGCTTTCATTTATGTTTTTATCATGTCATGCAAGGCGTACATCACTTGATTATATTTGGTATTTCATATGCATGGCTCATTCTACTTTTCTTGACATTAAATAATCCAGGGTAGTTTTACACGTTTACTCTTTAGGCATGGATTATATATTGCCCAGATTTGGCCCTTCATGAGTCAGCTTTTCTTAGGAATTATCAAGTACCACATTAGACTGTGTTATTTCATGTGAATGTGTGGCATTAACACCTGAATCGTGTGGATGCAGACATGGACACGAATGTCAATATTGAATACAGCAGGCTCTCACAAGTTTAGCAGTGACCGCACGATTCACGAATACGCCCGAGATATATGGAACATTGATCCAGTCCCATTACCTTAGAAGATGGATGTCTTCATATCATCATACCTAGCAGCAAAAATATGGGTGCTCCTCTCATGGCCCTGGTGATCACGGCTTTCGGTTTATCATATTTCCCCTGAAAATAAATAAAGCCTTGGGAAGACTCCAGAGTAGCGGCATTTGAACATAACTGCGGCTATGTTTTTCAGCGCCAATAAGCCTGCATCCTTCTTTTTCTTGTTTCTGTGTGGCACCAGAACTGAAATAAAGTTCTTTCTATTGGCTGCAGATGCACGATAAAAGTAAAATATATGGTGAATTTTGCTCCTAAGTGTGTTAATTGATATGATGAATATAGAGATCCTCATGTGGTGGGATATCACTATATAAGTCGTGTTAATTGATATGTGATGAGTATAGAGATACTCGTGGCAGGATATCACTGCATGGAAACATTTTAACGCATGAGTGCTGAAATATGCTATTAATGGATTATAAATAGAACTCTTATTATAAATTTTATATTGAAAAATTTTTGGTAAAAAAATATATCATTATATAAAGCCAGAGTAAAAAGTTTAGAATGGATTCCGTTGTCGACTAAGATGGCCATCTCGTACGTGACCGGAGAACGTGAAAATGAAAACTAACGCAACAACGATAATCATCAGGATAATGCATCAGAAACACTACCGAAAATGCATCCAAGTTCCTGAGTTGCAAATTAAACGTCCGTGTGTTATGTGGGGCATTTAATATCTTCATGCAAAATTCTTTTATTAGGGACATGAAAGTAGGGCAATTGTTTTGAAGCCCAAATCCCCATTTCAAAAGAACAAATAAAGAAAAGGTGCGTCAAACCCTGTGGCTTTTTCTTCTTGTCTTTTGTTTGGTAGAAAAGAGGGCAAAACCCAGATTACATTAGAAATTCTAAACATCAACTGGGGATTGAAATCCCAAACAATCTTTCTGCACAACTCTGGCATTATATTGGTTCTTCATACTCGGCACAACCGCACGCATGATGTGTTAGCTGCCACTTCAGTTGTCTCTGTTCCAACTCTCTTCATATGAAACTAAACAATACTATGAAACAAGCAACGTTGGATTTTGCTAGATCAATATGACTAAACAATGTAACTCAAAAAATTGTAATCAGCTCGCTTTTACTTATGTTAAGAAGCTTGTTTCTTCATCATAGCAGCATGCTTTTGCCCTGCAAGATGATAATTAAATACCGTCTCGCTATTACAGACCACATTACATATTGTACAGATTTTAACTGCTTCTGCGGCTGCCCCACCTTCAAGAACCTTCTTTTTCTTTTTCTCCAAATCTTCTGGTGTTTCAATCGCTTTCCTTTTACCCTTACCACCAGATTTGCTCTTCACCCCCACCGCTTGAGGTACTATCACTGGATTAGATGCTGCCGGTTGAGGTCCTATCACTGGATTAGATGATGCTGCGGGTGAAACGGGAACTTGTGGTGGCCTTAATGCTTCTTTTAGTTTCTCCAAGTTCTTCTTGTGCTTCTTTCCTAACTTATGCTGGTCCAGAACATCCTTGCTGGTACAATCTATCTTGCAAACTTCACAATATGCAGATTGGACAACCTTAGTTTTTGGTTTCTTTGGGCGTTTCTTCCATGCCCCATTTCCATGAGGTTGAGTTGTTGTGTTGGCCCACCATGCGGAGTTAGTATTTGCAGTAGATAATTGCTCTGATCCAGTTGAAGCCACGGGGATAGCCTACTCATAATAATACACAATGCAATAACACATGAGATGAGATAGGGGCAATCATCATTCCATTCCTTTCCATGCAGAGTTCCAACAGTAAACAAATCAACACGTTGAATATCCAAGTGTACTTGTAAACCACGTTTCAACTCCCTCTCAACAAAATAGGAGCACGCATTGTTTCCTTTCTCAATCACTCATTGCATAAGTACGTAATTAAGAAAAATAACATGTACTCCACATCTACAGCAAACATGATTTGATCCATCGTGCCAAGGTGACAAACTTTGAACAGATTCATACGTTTTTAACTTCATTATGGCCAAAACAAATGAAGCATCCATTGAGATGAAATTCTAAAAAATAGGAATTGGGAAACAGGAAAAGCATGTGCGTCACTAATTAATGAATAGTCTGAATTATGAAATATAGTTTTAGTTAGAAGTTTAAATCTTAAAAATATATCAAAAGATGACCGTTGTAAAAAAAAGGGGTGGGAGAGGCAGATAAAGTAAAGTCAAAGTAGTAAAACTCCATACATTCAAATTGGCAACAATTTTTAGTTTAAAATTTTTAAATTGAAGCTCAGTTCAAAAAGAAAAGATTTGAATAGAAAACATTGTTTTCCTTAGCTTCAAGGATCACAGAGAAACAATTAGGAATTTGCTCAAGTGCTCCATGAATTCTGAAATTGAAATAGCTCAGCAAATTATATCAAAAGGCTCATTTGAAAGAAGCTATGTTATCCTCAAGATTCTCTTACTAATCAACCTTCCTAAATTCAAGAAGTGGTTTTAAGAATTTAGGCCAGAACATTTATTGCATGGCACATACCAAGGACGGAAATGGATCCAGTGCGAGGTGAGATTGAGTGGTGTGCAAGAAGAATAAACAATGCCCTATGTTTTTTAGCATTTTAGCTTAGAATCAGCATCATTTGGTCTCCTCACACGCCACTCAAAATGACCATGCACTTACTCTGGATCTCATCAAGGACACAGCAAATTTCAAATTATTCATCATTAGAAACATATCAACTGGCATAAATCATTAACTAAATGTCATAAACCAAGGATAGGCAACTTATTAACCACTAAGAGATATAGCTTTAGAAATACATGTTCCCAATACTTCAGCTAACCAGTTAAAAAAATATTCAAGTGTTGTCAATCAATTTTAGATAATTACAAGCTGCTTCACGTAGTGTCAGGCTCCAGCACATAAACTTGAAACCAGAACATAGCTTCATCTATCCTTCATTTACAATCCAAACCTCAAACAGTATAGTCATCCCTTCCAAATTTTAAGACATTAATTATCGATTACCTCAATCCATCTCACGCCACCACAATAAACACAGCATGAAAATTTAAAGGAATGAAGAAAGAAAAGAACATACAGCTCCATAGCCAAGCGGGTCTGCCCCGAACTGCCTAACGGCCTCCCTAGCAGCCCAATTCAGAACATTTGGGTCAAAATAGTATCCGGAACTCGAATCTGCAATAGGGTTGTGAGCATACGAGTAATCAGCATGGGCTTCATGAGTCAGATGGCCAACTAAATTGGAGGCCAAGGGGGCATAGGAAGGAACAGCAGGAGGGTTCACCCCAGATTCCGCGGCCGTGCCACAGTGAAATTCTTGAGTCGCAATAGAAGATTGAGGTTGAGGGTCTACAGAAGAAGGATTAGGGTTTTGAAGGTATAATTGATAATGGGGAGGACAGGATGCAGGAAAATAAGTGGCTACAGATTGTGGGTAAGAAGACAGGGGCGCTGGCGTTGGATTTGGCTGCAATCCAGGCACAGTGGTGTAGTCCATTGGATTTTCAATTTCATAGAGAGGCAGTGGATGGAGGGGACAGAATCATGTAGAGGAAAGGAAGATGAAGATGCACTGTTTGCACTGTTTCCGACTCCGTGATGAAGATTGAATAGCACTGTAGCAGTTCGTGTTGAAACGGAACCAAGGTCGACCTTTTGTGTAAGAGATGGAGGCCCAGCAATGGAGAATCAACAACTATCGGTTGATCCAACTGCCTCAGACATGGGCTCGGGGAGATTTTTCCGTAGTCCAGAAAGAGAATTTCACCCTTGTATTTTTTTTAGAGAAAAATCCGTCGAGGACTTGTAATTAATTTTCTCCAAGAAAATACATTTTCTTGCAAAGTAGAATATATACAATGCAAGAAAATATACATAAAGAATTACGTTGTAATTAATTATAAATGAATGTAGAATATATTATATACTACCTCCGTTTAAAAGTATAAGGCATTTTTAAACAAATCTCATGTTTCAATAAAGTAGTTATCTACTTCTAAACTAGCCTTATTTTTTTATATTTACCTCTATTAAACACACTACAATGAATATAAAATTATTATCAATAGTGCCATTTAAAAAAAACAAGAATTACATTTCGAAAGATTAAAATTGCCTTACATTTTTTAAAATCTAACTTTCAAAAAATATTTTATATTTTTTAATAGAGAGAGTACAATGTAATGCCAACAAAGTGTAATTCTTTATGCAAAGTAGAATCTCACTGTAATTCTTTACGTATAATTTCTTGAGAAATTGAATCTTAGGGAATGCACTCTGTATAATTTTCTCAAAGATTAATGTGTCCCATGCATATTTTCTTGGAACGTACAAGGAGCACATTATAAAATTTATTATATTTACTCCCTAAGATTCGACCCATGTATATTTTCTTGGAATGTACTAGTACACAACCATCACAAATGAATCATATTGTAATCCTACTTTGCAAGTTGGTTTTTTTAATCCAAAAAAAAAAAAATCCAATCCCCTTTGCAAGCTGGCCCAAGCAAATGGCGCCACGTCTGACAATTTGAATGATCTACTACATTTCGAGTCACGAACCTCGTTTTTTCTTAGATATATTGATGGGGCGCAAGCACAATGCGATTCTCGCGGGGTGAATATGTGGTTTTCAAAATTACAACAATAGATAACAACAGCGGATTTATCAAATAAAAACAAGTTTCCCTAGTAAATTCATAACATCCAGATAATAATGAAATGGGTTACAAAAAGCAAGGCAAAACATAAAGCCTTTTTACTTTCCCTGATTTTTTTTTTTACCCATTTTGTGCCAACTACAAAGGGAAAGAAAAAAAAAAGGACCAAAAGAAAAACTCTTGTGGAAATAATAAAGAATCAGACTGAGTGGGAACGCCTCCCCTTAATCAAATGATCCTGTTTCAAGCCACTGCTGGCATGTCCTTAAGCCATGGGTCCAGTGGCTTACCAATGGAGTAAACGATGAAGCCAATCTCACGCAACTTATCCAAATCCACAATGTTCCTGCCATCGAACACAAAGGCTGGCTTCTGCATGTTGTCATATATCTTCTGATAATCAAGAGTCTTGAACTCATCCCACTCAGTCAGAATGCAAAGAGCATGTGCATCCTTTGTTGCCGCGTAGGCATCCCAAACCACACTGACTTGCTTCACCGTGGAAGGGCTCATGGGCTGCAAGTGGATGGGATGGTCCCAATCAAACTTGTTCATTGTGAGATCCCTCTGGATTTGCTCTTCAGTAACTTGTGGATCATATATGCTCAGGCGAGCTTTGTCACCCAGCAGTCCCTTGCAAACGTCAATGGCCGGGGTCTCACGAGTGTCCCCGGTATCTTTTTTGAAGGCAAATCCCAGAATGGCAATCTTCTTGTTAGCAACTGTGTTGAACATGGAGGAAACAACACGGTTCACGAAACGGCTCTTCTGATAGTCATTGATCTTAATGACTTGTTTCCAGTACTCTGCCACCTCTGGAAGGCCATTGCACTCACAGATGTAAACAAGGTTCAAGATGTCTTTCTGGAAGCAGGATCCACCAAAGCCAACACTAGCATTAAGGAACTTGGGCCCAATCCTTGTGTCTGTACCAACAGCAAAGGACACCTGTTTGACATTTGCACCAGTGGCCTCACAGAGTGCTGACATGGCATTGACAGACGAAATTCTCTGGGCCAAGAAGGCATTAGCAGCAAGCTTAGACAGCTCTGCAGACCAGAGATTTGTGGTAAGAATTCGATCCTCAGGAACCCATTGAGCATAAACATCCTTCAATGCTTGGATGGCCTTTTGTCCTTCGGGAGTCTCCCGACCACCAATGAGCACTCGGTCTGGTTTGAAAAGATCTTGGATGGCAGTTCCCTCAGCAAGGAATTCTGGGTTAGATAGAATCTGGAATTTAATCCCCTTGCCATTGTGGGTAAGGATTTTCTCAATGGCCTCCGCAGTTTTGACTGGGACAGTAGATTTTTCAACCACGATTTTGTCAGATTTTGAGACATCAGCAATCATGCGAGCAGCACTCTCCCAGTATGTCAAGTCTGCTGCTTTCCCAGCTCCAAGACCCCTAGTTTTGGTTGGGGTGTTAACTGAGACAAACACAATATCAGCTTCGTAGACATGTTTTTCCACATCAGTGCTGAAGAACAGGTTCTTGCCACGGCATTGCTTTACAACATCGTCAAGGCCTGGCTCATAGATAGGAAGCTGGTCGCTGTTCCAGGCTGCAATACGGGATACAGAGATATCAACGACAGCCACTTCAATGGAGGGGCACTTAAGTGCAATGACAGCCATGGTAGGTCCCCCGACATATCCAGCACCAATGCAGCAAATCTTCACCATTTTTCCTCTTTTAATAACCTATATAAAACAGGCTCAAATGGATAGGTAAAAACACAATGATACAGCAATAACAACTTTCATACGAAGCACTTGCCTTGAAGTAGTACCACATCATACTAAGGTCTATATTGCAATTTACAACTATTTCATCATAATGAAAGAGGAAGCAAGTCTTAGCAATCCCTATCTTAAAAATTCAACAAATAATAAATATATCATTGAACAATACAAAAGTGTATAAAATTTCCGTGAGCAAACATTTTCCTCCCAAACAGAACCAAGCTGCAAATTCCATTCTGTCTCGCATAATCTTATACTAAGCGATAACAATAGAAAAACATCCACTGAGGCACGATTTCAAGCAGTCTCCATGCGTTTTGTTTGCATTGAAGATTCACGAATAGTTCAAGCATGATTGATACAGACTACCAAAAGACTGGTGAGCAGAACAAAGTGTCACTACGTTCCAACTGGGTGGAAACTAGAATGACGTATTCAAACGTATTAGACTCAAAGGTCGGTGCGAGATCTATACCAAATGAAAGCAACTCCGGAAAATAAAAACAATCCAACTTGTTTTCTTCCAGTAGCCATAAAAAGAGATTAGGAGAAACCAGATCTAATACATGAATGCAAAAGTTGATACTTTTATCATTAGCTTTCAGGATGACTATAGGTTGACTACTGGCGATCAGTCTTACGAACGCAATATTTGTAGATCTAGCTCAAATCGGAGAATCACAAACGAATTGCTGGCGATCTCTATAAATCAAACATGAATTCTAGTAGATCCGTAATCAACCAGCTTCACATAAGAAAAGCCAAACAACAAAAGCTGATACCGAACAGCATTGAATTAAGCATAGAAACGGACAGCTGAAATAACTAACAACGTTAAAAAAAATGGGGGCACGGATCCGCAGATTATAGAACAAATCAGAACCAAAACCATCAATTACTAAGGACTAGATAATCCATTTTCTTAAGATGAACTGGTGAAGCGAAACTTAACCAGAATGGCCGGTTCTAACGTAACACCAGAGACCGGAGTCAACAGCAACTAAAAAATTGACAAAAATCTCACAGGAGAAGAATCAAATCAGGGAATGGAAGTATGAAAACTGACAGAATTTTACCTTTCCAGGTGATTCACTACGAAATGGGAAAAAACAAGGGATCACAGAAGCCGAGAGAAGGAAAGGAAGAAAGAAGACGAGGTCCGTAGGAGAGCGGGACTGAGGAGAATATATAGCAACGGAAACAAAGAGGCAGTGGACGTGTAATTACCAAAAAGGACAAAGACATGTGAAAACGCTGCTCCGGTTGGTGGGAAGGGTCACATTTGGCACTTGGCAGGAGGAGAACGACAGGGGCAAAGTCGAGAAGTAAAGTGAAATGACCGAAGTGCCATTAGATTATTGGTTAGTTCATTTTCACAATGAAAGTCAAAGTCTGGGAGCGAAACTGGCAATGAGGGGTTTCCAGCTTTGCACGCGTTCGCCGCACAATGGAACCGATTCCTCCTCTGCGAATCAGTGTGTCAACTTCAATTCCTTTGTCTTTATTGTCCTTTGTTCCATTCTCATGTTATATGGGAACGAGAATAAATCCTGGCTGGCATGCATGGCTGTGCAATAAATTATCCTCCACTGAAATTTATTTGGCTAATTAATACAACTTTATGGCAACTCATGTGTTAGTTGTGCATTTTCCCCATGTTTTGTATTTTGTAAATGTTAGATTGAGTGACTACTTATATATAATTGGAACCCTCAACTACTAATCTTATCCTGTCCTCGCTCTAATTGACCGTAACTTTATTTTGATCTCTTGCATTTGGAGTATTAATTAGATTATTAGGCATTTACTAATCTTAGCAACAAATTGTTTGATTAAACTGATAAATTGTATTTTGTTGTATATTAGATGAACAAAATACAAGGACATGAAAAATATTTTTTATAGGTTATCCTAGAATCCACTATGTAATACTACGTAGATTGCCTGCTAGTTTCATTGGCTATAAATTATGAAAATGATATTACATTTAAATTATTACATTAAAATATGCTTATATGTGAGGGGACTTCTCCTTGGAAAGATTAAGAGCATGTTTGAATTAAATCTTAACTTAAATTAGGAGGGACCAAACTTAAGTTGGGATCTTAAAAGCTTCATCTATCATATTTGGATAACAAAAAATAATCAACCTTAATTAGGGTCCAAACCAACGTATTTGTCAAAGTTCAACCACCTAGCTTTTCCATCAGCGTTGGGTGTCCAGATATGTAGTTGGAGCATTAAATGCTTTTTAAATTTTTTATTCTCTCTCTTCAATTGCTTGCTCTCTACTCAGATCATCGTCATTGCCGTTCCTATGGTTGCTCTGGCTCGCCCTTCACTCTCCCAAGCTTGTTGGATCTAACGAGAGATCACAGCTACAACTGCCATCGCCGCTAAGACCTGATCTCCATCGTGTGTGCAATGTGTTGCTCGCTCTGATTCACAGTGCTGTCTTCTCCCTCTTCATTCATGAGTGGCATGATTTCTTCTCCTCTGCCTTCACAAGTCTCTACTTTTCATGAGTGTGCTCGCCGCCGTCTAATCCCTCGCCGCAAATCTGACTAGAGATTATGCTCACCATTGTTGTTGCTGTTCAATCTTTTGTCAACTGAACCAGTGCTCATGGTGTTTTTGGCACAAATGGAGATACCCTAAAGCATGGCAAAGCTAATTTGCATGGAGAAGACAAGGTAAGTTGGAGAAGAGAAGGAACATGTTGTCAACGGTGAAGGTGATGTCTATGAAAATGTTGCAGATAAGGTCAAAGAAGGTGGTGTTGGTGAAATATAGCATTTGGCGAGGTTGAGACCGATCTACTGGTGCTTCTGCAAAAGTAATCTAATATTATAAATAATAGTTAATAGTTAATACTTAACACCTCATTTTATATATATATTGTTTTTTTAAATTTAAATTTAAAGTTTAATTTTTTTAAAGAAGATCAAATTACACTATTTATTAAATTTTAATTATATATAGACTATAATTTATCATTTCATTCATGCTCTGTTTAAAAATTTTGATTTTAAAACAATTAATTTATCTTAGATATTTTAAGTCTAACTTTTTAAATGCAATCTAAAGTTTATGATTTGTTTTCTTAAAAATATCAAATTGGTCACAAAAATATAGACAACAAAATTTATACCCATTTTTGTCATTATATATCTTAACTGACTTTTGAATCAATCATCCAAACAATTTTTAATTTGTTCAACTGATTTATAAAAAAAAATATCCAAACATAAATTACATTAAAGTTATAGACATTTTTTCTAACTTTAATTTGCTAATCTTGGTTAAATCTTAACTTTAATTATAAACTTTTTTAATCCAAACACACACTAAATTGAAATAATAATTTTACCTGACGATCAGATCAAACAAACACCGCTTTGATGGTGGAGGCAAAAATAGGCTTTTTTAAGTCCATCATTTAAGCGTAAAATAATTTCCAGATTCTTTCTTAGGCTGGTAAAGCTTACTCTATATATGTAAATTTCATTTTTCTTGTAAGAGTAGAACAAATATATTTTCTTTTAGCTGTAGTGTGTATATATATATATATATTAACAGTAATGAAGTGGAATGGAATTATATACATTAGTGATTAGATTATGTAATAATAAATCATATGCTGGGGAAGAAAAAAAAGGCTTGTGGTTAGACGATACTTAATTCATGAAGGTGATGTGTGATTGAAGAAAGAAGTAGTAGATTCAAACTCTTTTATAATGAGAAGTAACTTATTTAATAATCAATGTTGACTGTGAAATGAAGAGGTTTCTTTATATACTTTCAAGTTATGTCTACGCATTTTTGTCCTTGTGGTGCGTGGGCGTGTACAGCCATTGCATAACTAATTGTCTAATATATTGTTTTTTCAGGAAAAAAAAAATAACGTGACTTGTTTCGGCACACCAAGGATTTTATTGTTGAAAAAACAGAGAGAGAGAGAATGGTTGAATTATCACCGTGATCGGGTAATTTATAGGGAAAAGATTATGGTTTATCACAAAAAAGAAAAGGTAAATATGAAAAAGGAGTCTCTGTCGAAAAAGAGCATGATTTTGAGTAGATCTGAAATTTGTATTTGTCATTCATATATTAAGAAAAGAATTGAATGCTATGGAAGGTCAAAATTAGAATGTGATTGAGAAGGATTTATATAAACATGATTTAGATGTGCTTTTAGGTGAAGATGGAGGCACCATCATTGTACAGATTCTCCCTAAAGCAGTCTTCACAAACTTGAAAACTAAGAATGGACTTTGCTTGAGAGGTTAGAAATTGTTAGAGTGCATTTGAAGCTATAAAAGATCTTAAAAACTTTTTTTTAACTAAAAAAAATGTTTCCTTTCATAGCAATGATAGCTCAAAGACTTCACATGCAGAGATGATCAATAATCACATTTTTTTTCTTAAAAAAGTTAAGTATTATAGTCTCAATCGTTGAATTTACAAAGAAATACTGGGCCAAAAATAATTAATTACAAAGAAGTACATTTTCAAGCCACAATCATACCTAATCACCATTTTTTCCGTGTGAAATCACCAAATCTCCAGACTTAACCTTTGACAAAACTTTTGGATAAATTTTAAACAAGCATTTTTTTTAAAAAAAAATTACATTGAAATTCCCCACAAAAAAAATTAATTATTATAAAATTTATTAACAATTGAACTAAACTATATGAATAATACAATCAGTTATCAATATAATTTAGTTCAATTGTTAACGAATGTTGTAATAATTAATTTTTTTATATAAAACCTGATTGTAATTCTCTCTCTTTTTTTCTTCTCATGATAATAATAGGCTGGGATTTATTTTTCCATCTTAATATTCAACGTATAAATTTTGCCAGTAGTTATTGTGTATGAACATTTGGTCATCCATGTATATGTTTTACAAAAATTATTTCAATTATTTTTTATTCAAAAGTATCAATGTACTATAGGTAGCCATATTTGAGACATTATTAGATACTAATATAAATATATTTTTTAGGTGAAATTTGAATCTGATTTTTTATGTCGTAAGAAATTAGCTCATACACTCAGGTGGTAAATTATTTAAATTTTCGCATTTTAAAGGAAAGAAAATAAAAGAAAGCGAGAATCCACAAGTATATTGGGTAACTGAGTTCCATGTCATGTGATTGTGCAACAAATGAAGCCCATCAGTTTCGGCCCAAAAGGCCACCCAGAAGGTTATGTCCTGATTATAAGTGTAACGGTCGTTGATTAGAAATCAGATCACCGCCGCATTTCACCTGAAAAGCGAATCCAACGGGTCAAATAATCTAAACAAAATCCAAAATGAAAAATCCGACGGCTCATCATCTCAGATTCTGACCCACGAAAAATAGCCGTTACAAATCGCGTCCCCGGCTCAACGTTCCTATTTTTTCTCCCCTGCCAATCAGAAAATCAACTTAGTTGGCCAAGAAATCAGAAAATCATCAAAATATCACACAGAGTCATACAGTCTTCCTCATTCTTTAACACACACTCTCTCTCTCTCTTTATCTCTCCTTCGGTTTTCAGAATCCTTTTTGGCCATATAATTATCGCTGAACTTTCTTTATTTTCCGATGGAATTGGCTTGCAAGAACGCCGGAGTCATGACTCCGATGAAAGAATCACATGGTTATCGATCAAAGAATCAGGAATGCTCAAAACTTTCGGAGAATTTTAATCCCAACGTGTCTCGTCGTAGCCCGGGTTCGAAAACCTTGAACACCCCTGTTTCAGCCAAGACAGTGATCTCTTTGAAGTCGGCGTCGAAGAACGCTAATTCAGGTGCCTGTTTATCTCAGAACAAGATCCGTCAGAGGAAGTTCGTGACTGCAAAGAACAATCCGAAGAAAGAAGACGACGTCGTTTCTAGTTCGCCAGCGAAGTGCAAGTGCAAAGACACATATAAAAAGAAGTGTCTTTGTGTGGCCTACGAGAGTTTGAGAGCGTCCCAGGAAGAATTTTTAAAGAATCAGGCAGATGAGCGGGATCAATCCAAGGCTTGTGAAGAATCAGGGATTCTGACGACGATACAAGACTGTCCAATTGATGAATTTGGCTCAATGATCAACGAGACACAATCACCTGATCAAGTGGGCGGTCCGACAATGAAACGTCAGAGGGACAAATTGATGGAAGAGGCGAGAAGGAGCGTCCCAGAAGGAGGATGTGGTAGAGTGATGCATCTGGTGAAAGCATTCGAGAAGCTTCTAACAATTCCGAGCTCGAAGGACCGTGATGAGAAGGAGGAGGAGAAGGATAAGTTACTAGAGGATGATCAGAAGAAAGCCGCGAAATGGGCATTGCCAGGATTGCAACCTCCTCCAAAGGCACCTGAAACTGAGGTTTCATCTTCATCATTCTGCCCTTCGGATTTATTCCTCACACCCGAAAGCCTTGGCTTGGACCCACCTATTTCACTTTCTTCTTCTTGTGATGATAATAGCATCCGTGAAAGGTTCGTGAAAATGAAAAGAAAACCAATTTGATTCCACTTAGTATATGTACGCATATTTTTGCGTTGTTGCACCATTCAGTTTTCTCTAATGCTCATTATTTTTGTTGATGTTGCAGTGTATCGAGCAGGACTTCTAATGGGGGTCAAAGGAGCAGGAGAAATGTAAGATTACAAGTTATAATTAGTTAATTACTGCTACAAGCACTGAAGCAGATTGAATAATGTTGAACAAGTGATTGAGTTTGCTTTGATTTTTTTTTTTTTAATTTTTAGAGCTTGGAATCGCCATGCACTTCTGGAGGAAGGAGGCGGAAAAAGAAACACTCAAAAGCCACAAGCCAGAAACCATTCAAGCTGAGAACAGAGGTAGTTTAGGACCACGAATTGATCTTATGAACTTCAATTCATTTTTTGTGTTTGGATGGTGACACTTTGTAATGTAACCTGCTACTGTAGCAAAGGGGAAAGGTGAAAGAGGAAGAATTTATGAAGAAGTTACAGGAAGAAATGTTTGAAGAAGAGAAGCAGAGAATACCCATTGCACAGGGTCTTCCATGGACTACGGATGAACCAGAGGTAAGGTCAATATTTCACAACTCCCATGTTTGTAGATATATTTGGTCACATGTTTACTGTTACTAAGGATTTCATTCGGTGCTACTTCTTCAGAACCTCGTAAAACCTGTAACTAAAGAAATCACAAGACCCATGGACCTGAAGCTTCATAGTGAGCTACGGGCGATAGATCGTGCTGACTTTGACCATCAGGTGCTTTTATCATGGAAATTATTTCAATTGCTGAAATTTTGCAAATCAGAATAAAATTTGATGAACTTTTTATGCAGGTGGCAGAAAAGTTTACCTTTATTGAGCAATTCAAGATGGAAAGAGAGAGGCAACAGAAGGTACAGTAACAGTGATGGATTCCTCAACTATTATTAATCTACATCGTTTTCCTCTTATTATAGATATTCAATATTTTTCTTTTGTTTTGTGTTGTAGTTAGAAGAAGAAGAAGAAGTCAGAAGGTTAAGAAAAGAACTCGTCCCTAAAGCACAACCCATGCCTTATTTTGACAGGCCCTTTATCCCCAGGAGGTAATATTTGGACTATATTCATAACTGAATATTTTTGTTTATTTTTCCTTCAATCTTGTTCTGTTTAAAAAACTTGCATCCCATATCTTGAAGATCAACGAAGCCTCCAACCATCCCTAGAGAACCCAAGTTTCAGAGTCCTCACAGTCAACACAAGAATGATCAGATGCTGATTATTATGGAATGACATTAACTCCTGCACTACATTAAGACTAGATGGGCTATTATAGACATGTGCAGAGAGAAAAAACCATCGTCTATATTTTTGCCCCGTCTGAAGAGTGTTGATTGATTTTTGTATACAAGCAATTGATGTAGTTGAAGATTTTTCCTTAAGCCTTTTTTCGGTTGTAACTGTGTAATGGTCCTCAAGATGAGAAAGGGCGACTCCACCCCAGTTTAGAGTTGGTGCAAGTGATCATTAATCCTGAAAATAACAAATATGAGAAAATTAATCATTTAATCTTATAATTTTAACTTAATTATAATTTAAATCCTGAATTTTAACTTCCAGTAACTTGATCCTTATAATTTTGATTTGATTGTAATTCCATTCTTAATATTTAGGACTAATATTTTAAGTTACTAAACTCTTTCAATCTTTATAATTTAACAATATAGGAATTAATATTTTAAATAGATTAAATTGCAAGAGTGAAAGTTTAGAATCTAAATTATAATTGAATTAAAATTATAAAGATTGAATTATAATAAGTCAAAGTGTAAGAATTGAATTATAATTAAATTAAAATTATAAGGATAAAATAATTAATTTTCCTGAACAAATTTGATCGCCAATGAAGCCAGAAACAAAAGAAAAAAAAAAAGCGTTCTCTTGGAGAAAGTTGTTTGACTTATCTAATTGTTTGAGAGGTTTTTTTTTTTTTTTAACTTCAATTTTTCACATAGTTTTGGAAAATATGTAAAATATAAATAAATATAAATTATAATTGAATTAAAATTAAAAGGAGAAAATAAATTAATTTTCCCTAACAAATTTGATCGCCAATAAAGCTGGAAACAAGAGAAAAAAAAGCATTCTCTTGGAGAAAGTTGTTTGACTCATCTAAATGTTTGAGAGGTTTTTTTAACTTTAATTTTTTACATAGTTTTTGAAAAATATGTAAAATATAAATAGATATGAACATTAAAAAAAATAATACAGATACATGTAATCATTTTAATATATTGGAATCATTTTAATATATTGGAAAAATAATTTATAAACCTAAATGATTAAAATCTTAATAATATATCATAGTCCTTACACAATTAAAAAATGTGAATAATCAGTTGATGTTACTAAATACACTTGGCATTGCTTGTAATGTCAATTAAAAATTTACAAGAGTGAATTTTGATGTCAATATGTAAGTACTTGAGAAATCAAGTGAATAGTCAATATGTAAGTACTTGAGAATTAAGTAAATATATTTATAATGTTAGTGAATCACAAACTAATCACTTATGATTTTTTGTTATTACTTGAAAAATTAGCAAAAACTAGTTAGGAATCTTTGTAGCATTAGTTAAAAACTTACTAAAATCTATTGTGTATTTTGAATCAATTAATAAAAAATAATTTATTGCAATTAAATGTCATAATCTGTTATTAGAATTTTAATAATTCAGAGCTATAATTACCATTAATGCTCTTGCCAGGTCCCAAATCAAGTCCAAGTTTTTTGGTGATAAATTATGTATTATGCAATGAATTATAAATTTCTTCTAGTTTTAGTGAAAAGTTTAAAAATGAATCACATTTTTAATAAACTTTTAAAATCTTACACTAACTACTAAACTAGAATACCCCACATTGACTCTGAAATTAATACCTAACTAGATTGCTTCTGTTTTCGGCCACATGGTGAGATTGTTTATGAATTTACTAGTGAACAATACAAGTGTTTTTATCCAGTTGCCCAAACAGAGCAGGCTTGGTTTATCAATTGTCTATACTATTTCCTGAACACCTTCCATCACAAGTTCGTACATACTTGTACCTTGTATGTCATGCAATGGTGCAAACTTGCCCTAGCCTTCACCGTTGTGTATCTCAGACGCCCTTTTTTCTGTTTTCTCGCCCATGTATTTCAGCATTTCAAGCCCCAGACAAACACAATCATTGCTTTTCTGCAAATATTAACATGTCATTACAAAAGCCAGAACTCCGGATGATTATGGCCCGAAACCTCAATATATTTAGATTCACGGATTATGCGTTGATTGGCTTGGCCATTCGGCCGACTTAGCAAGTGGTTCAATATTCCCAAATCATTTTCAGTTATCATTACGTAGGTTCGAAGCCGACGTATGTCTATTCAAAGTTCGCTCCAACAGGACAAAAAGTTCCGTGAGAACATGAAGGAAACGCTGCCACAAGCCTGCAACAAACATCAATTTGGTTTCCATGTTCACAACATATAGTGTTCCATGAGAACTGAGAAGACGTAATCGACTACTATGCTCAATACTTTAAATCATGTCTTCGACAACATCTACGAATCTCAATGAGGGGGGGGGGGGGGGAAAAAATAAAAAAGGCAATGCTACTGGATTGTCTGTTCAAGGAGCAACCACAATTCGCCCAGCAACTTGGTCAAGATCCCTTTGACCACTTGAAGTGATTTTCCTGCCTCTGCCGCACAGAAACCATAAATAAGATACAACCATTGGCACACATTAATGAAAATCTGATATCTAAAAAATTGTAAAAAAATCAATATGAAAAGAATTACTACAAAGTGTTTCATATTGTAGATCTCAAGGCCAAAAAAAGCGAGGATGTAGCAATCAACAGAATATACAACACTCTGAGGAATGAAGATCATCCTGTGATTATTTGTGAGTGGGAAAGGACATACAATGGCAACTGAAGGCTGGAAAATGAGAAAGAGAAACTATAATTTCCACTAGCATTTTTAGCATTGAATGAAACATAACTTACCCCTTTGAATCAAGCTCAATAATATTCATGTTTTGCAACTGCTGAAGAATGTGTCTGGCAATGGCTCCACTGCTTTTGCAGAAATGTGGGGGGCGGCTTCCATTCCTCTTGCTTCCACCATAAATCCTCTGAAAGGCACCAACACCGAGACCACCTCTCAAGTAGATCTTTCTAGCCATGGAGGCTGTAACAAAAATAAACCTCCAAATTAAGCTAAAAGTTAACAAATGGATGTGAGCAATAAGTGTTCTTTGAACTATGAGGTCTGTAGTGACCCTAGTGAACTCATGGGACCAAACCATATGAAACTTTTATCACCCAAAAACAAAAATGATCCTAGCACAAGAACGAACTTGCACCTAGAGATAGCAAACTCACCGGCTCTAACATAATACCAGTCAGGATCATATGGGGCGAGTTCTTTAAATCTTGCAGTTTTTTACTAAATCCGTCCACTCAGGAAGCTCCATCTATTAAGATTTAAGAAACAGATATAAATCATAATTAGAATAGATACATAATCTTCAAGTGAAAGTGAACCACGACTCAGTCAAAATGTAGCAAAAGTGATCAAGCAGAAATTTTCCTCGGGTGAGAACAACAACAGGCATAAGAAGCGGCATAATTATTGGGTCGAGGAAACATTAGAAGCCATATATGTCATGACAAAGAAGTGGAATGCATAAAATAAAAAATTCGCTCTTTTATTACTTCAAGGGCATGGAGTTCATCCTGATAAACTACAGTTCTCTAGTTATCTACTACTCTCTCTCTCCACTTCCACTTTATTGGTCATTTTATTAGTCACCTTTCAGAAAAGTAAAGTGATCCACCTTATAAATAGAGTGATATTTTGTTTCAAATGAAATGGTTAAATTATACTTAAAAAAAATATTATACAATTTATTTATTTTTTAAGATTATGTTTGCAATTTTATTAAATTTTATTCTTTGTACTTTTCCTGTATTATTATTGATAATGAGGTTGTTAAAAATAAATTATAAATAAAACCAAGAAGTACTCTCTAAAAACACTGATTAATGAAACTTGGTCCTCAGTCTTCTCATTACAAGATTAAAAATTAAAGAAATATAAACGTAACTGGAAACGAATAACCCAAACATCTAAGAAACTCTAAGCTAAGCAAGTGAGGAATTTCAAGCGAAATCAAACGTTAAGAGATAGAGAAAGTGCCATTGCCAGTAATCAATTGGAGATCAAATATGAACAACCCAGAAATTCAGTGAGATTAAAAAAAAACAAAAAACAGTAGCTCTCCAGAATATCAAATTAGGAAAGTGTTTCTGCCCTTCTTTTTTGTCCTAAGACATGGGCATAGACAGTGAGCAGAACCTACATCACCAACGAAAATGTCTCCTCTGTCTGAAAGAAACGCAGAAAGTGGGATAAGCAGCAGGTTGACTGTACCTTGCCAGAGCGCTTGAGGTGAGCGGAATAAGCCTTGACAAACTCATGCGGTGAAACATCCTTCACGGTTCTCGCAGTTGCCATGGCTAAATTGCAGAGGGCAAACGAGAAGCTGCTCCAATGCTCAGAACGATGAGCCCTCGTCGATGCGCGCTTGCTTCTTGTTTTTAATGCTGTCTTCAGTGTTTATAATTTATACAGACGGGGATGATCTCATTTAGGGTTTTGCCTTCGTCCATCGGCATAAGCTGACCCGGTCAGGCATTTTGGTTCATTGGGCTTGGACATGTGAATACGCCGGCCCAAGAACCCCCAAAAAAACACATGGCCCAACAGTTTTGCACTTTATAATCTACAAATATAGCAACAATTTTTGAAGTTTATAGTTTTTTTTTTTTGAAAAACACAATGTTTAGTCCCTGAAGTTTCATGGTGTTTTGCTTTGATTCCTATACTTTATTTTCATTGTTATTAGTCCCTATAGTTTTTGTCGTCCATTATAATGCCCGCCTTGACATTATTAGGATAACACTTTTACACGCCGTTATGATAACCAGGATTAGATAAAATCTCAAAAAGAAGTTATTACAATCCAAGGATTTAAAAGATAATAGTTCAAACAATGGGATCCTAAGAAATCATTTTTAGAAATGTTGTTTGAGTTCAAATCATAATTCAAAATCAATTGAGAACAAAATACAGAAGCATGAAAATCAAATCACTTCAAATCAATCTAAAACAAGCCTTTTTTTTTTTTCAAATATCTTGCCCGTTTGTCGTGGTGCAAGCCACACCTACCATGGAAGATGGCATAGAGGGATGAGTCCCTTAAAAGTCACATGCGCCGCGGCGCGCACCTATTATCATGACAGTAAATTACTATCATGATATCTCTCTAAATTTCTAAAGCGTGCTGTTTCGCCATCTAATGTCCAATTTCAAAGGTTTAAATGTCCACATGAAGCTCTTTGAGCTCTCTAGCTAATGGCACCGGTCTCACACTTAATTAATCATTCATTTAAAAGATGGACACCGGAATCCAAATTGGTTTGCTTTTATTTGAAAACACATACAAAGGTGTCCAACTTATAATACCAAATGCCATTAGCCCCAGACACACAACATGACAATTCATTCATATCACCTAAATAAACAATCACATTCAAAATAACCACCAAACCTCCATCTGACAATATTACAAAGGGGTGAATAAAATTTAACACACATATCAACTTGGTAATTTTGGCACATAGATTACAATTATATCACTAGTAATTGTAACTTAGCTCTACCTTGGACCAAGATACATACATTGATCACAAATTCAGACAAGTGATATCCTAAAATAATGTCATGTTCCTAAATTGACATTATATATTGATAATATTCGTTACAATACCCAAAAAGAGGAAAGGGAAGAGCTATACAACTATGCTCTTCACTCTTTAAACACCCCTTCCTTCCCCTTACCCCTACCAGAGCCTTCACTTGTAAAAATATAGCCACAGGATGAGATAAACATCTCAGTAACAGAATAATTCATTACTATTAATTAACATACACAACTATTTGGGAGTAAAGCTATTAAAACACCAAAATATCAATGTTTTGAAACCCGGACCAGACATCGAATCGGAAAGGGCAGCGGGTCACGGTTCTCATGGTTCAATCGGTTGGACCGGTGGTCGAACCAGTGACATAAAAATTAAATAAAAAATAATATTTATATGCATATATATATATATATATATATATAAGACATTGATTTGACAAAAAAAACAATAATATATCAAGCAACACCACAAATTCACATTGCATAACATGTTCTAATTGCTAAAAATCTTAAACAATGACATCACGAATTCAAAATATAGTCTCAAACATGTTTTAATTGCTCAAAGTCTCAAATAAAGATACCACAAATCCAAAATATAAGTCTCAAACATATCATTGCAAAGTTCACAATATCATAACTCATAAGTTTAAATTTTCATGGCTTATCAAATATTGGGGGATCTTGGTTAATCTAAGCATGTGTAGGCTCAAAGGCATCAACATCTTCACTAAAGCTATCAACATCCTCTTGAGAAAATAATTGTAAATCAAGTCCACCAATAGCTTTACCATGTGCCACGTTGCCTCTTTGCTCATTATCTTCACAAACAAACATTCAATGTATATAATCAAATTAATGAGAATCACATGATAAGTGATAAAAAAAAAGTGAAAACATTAAGTAAAAATACCAAACCTTCCTCATCCTCTTGATGAATGATAGCTTTTGGTAGCACTGTGTCATCATAAATGAGATCTCGTTCTATATCATCAATATTGAGCAAAGAACAATCATCTTCTTCCATTACCCAATAATCAATTTGATCAATACTTTCATAATCAACAGGGTCTAAAGCTTTCTTCTTGTTAGCAACTCTAATAAAAACACACAATAGTAATAAAGTATAAGGATTCATGTAACTTATTTTTTATAACTACAAATGAAAGCAAAATTTTGAATAATTTACCTATTCCTTAATCGAAAATTGTAATGAATATAGACAAGATCATTTAATCTTTCATGCTCCAACTTATTCCTTTTCTTGGATTGTATTCTTTCAAAGACACTCCAGTTCCTTTCACAGCCCGAGGAAGATGCAGTTTGGCCTAATATCTTAATAGCCAAGTCTTTAACATTTGGACAGCTCCTCCCAAAATGCTTCCACCATTCATCTATCATGAGAAAAAATAAGTCATTAGAATATATTTTAAAGATAAAAATAATAAATATCAAATATAAAAGTATACCAGGTCGCATGGTTTTTGCAGATTCCATAGCCAGTGGATGACTAAAGCTTCCACACCTTTCTTGGTATTGTGTGCCTTCTAACAGAAACTTGGTCTTATTAGAAGAAATTTTTCTATCTATCACATTAAGATATCCTTGCATAACCTCTGGCTTTCTAGAAAAATTTTCCTTATCATAAAGAAAAGCAAGATTAAAGAGATATGCTGCTGCATGAAGATTTTGTCAAAGTTGAGAATCCCACCTTCTCTTAATAATACTTGTGTAAGGCTTGTACAAGGATTTTTTGTGCCTAAAAGTATTCTTTATAGCTCTTTTTGCTCTGTACATGCCGTTATAAACATAGCCAAGTAAAGGCCGGTCATCAGAATCAACAATTCTCAACAATCTCACAAGTGGTTTTACAATTTCAACAACAATTTTACAATTATTCCAAAACTGATTGTCTAATACAATCATTGTCACATCCTTTGCCTTTGAATCCTTGTAGTATCTAGATTCTACAAATGTCTTGCTTGTTATCAAAGCTTGAATATCATGCTTGTGCTCATAGATACTTTTCAAGGCAATAAAAGTAGTGGCAAACCGTGTTGCACCAGGCCGGATGATTTCTGTCCAACCTTCTCTTTTCCTTAACCATGCTAGCAAAAAGACATAGTTGTAAATGAATTTCGAAACCATGGATGCACGTGTTGCTAAGCTACTAACAATCTCCATTTTGCCAATATCTGATAAAATCAAATTTAAGCAATAGGCAGCACAAGGAGACCAGAAAATAGAAGGAAACTTATCATTTAACAACCTTCCAGCAGCTTTATAATTAGTTGCATTATCAGTTACCAAGTGGACAACATTGTCTGCACCAGCAAAAGCAACCATATCCATGAATAAGTTGCAAAGATTTTGAGCATCCTTAACAATATCCGATGCATCAACAGATTTAATGAAAACCATTCCTCTAGGGCAATAAACAAGGAAATTAATCAACTGTCTATTTCTTTGATCTTGCCAACCATCAGCCATTATTGTACATCCTGTCTCAGCCCAAAAGCTTCTACATTCATCAACTAATAATTGCACCTCCTTTTTCATGTCTTGTAATAATTTGGTTCTCACAGTATGGTAAGTTGGTCCTTTATAATCTGGGCCAATAGCTGAAATAGCATCTATCATGGGCTGATAGTAAACATAATTTACAACATTCATAGGAATGCAACAATCATACAACCACCTAACCACAGCTAAATCCACTCTATGCAAAGCTTCTTTACTTGCAAATGCACTTTGAATTCCTGGCTGTACTCCCGAGCTTGTCCTTGGGGCAAAGAATTTGTCTCCAGCTGTAGATGCCTTTTTTTTGGCTAGTTGAGAGGAACTTGAAGGAATTATTTCTTGCACAATTTCATCATCCACTTCCAATGGATTGTCCTCTTCTTTTCTCAATTTCTTAGTTGGTCTCTTTTGATCAATTTCTTTCAAGTTTTCCTCCAATTGATAACGAACATCATGTGGTACACTTTTACAACTAGTTGCATCTCCTTTTTTCCAGCAAGGTGTTGTTTCATTCTATGTATTCCACCACCACCAAATTCCTTTCCACAATATAGGCATCTTAAGCGAGGCTTGCCACCTTTTTCATTTGGTATTGCAGTGCAATGCTCCCATGTAGGATCTGACTTAGCTCTAACAGATTGTGTAGATGCAGTACTAGATATTTGGTCAGATGATATTTTCTAAATTTAAATTGAAAGCACAGATAAAACGTGAAAAAGAGAGCAGAATTAGATCATATTCAGAATTCCATATCAATAAATAACAAAGTAATGAAAAATAAAGCAAACAAGCTGCCTGGAGTCCTGGACGAATTGTGCATACATACTACTCATTATACAAATTACAAACTCAAATATATAGATAGAACATATAAGCTAAAAATTGAACCTGAAAGGAGAGCAGAGCACACCGAGAATCAAACAAGTTGGAGCAAAATGAGAATCACACAGAGGCAGAGGCACGAGCTGGAGCTGGGAGGAGCTGAAAGCAACTCGAGTGGAGGGCTGGAAGCAGAGGCAGAGGCACGAGCTCAAAGTGGCGAGCGAGACGAGAATGGCTGACAATGGCGATGAAAAATCTGGTCTGGGTTGAGAATGGCAAGCAAGATGCGAGAAGGATATGAATCAAAATTTTGAATTTTAAGCTTGATTAGTTGATCATTGAAGATGAGAAATAGAGAAAGGCGAGAGAGAGACTAGACTCACTAGATTGGAGGAAAATGAGTTTTGAGCTCTGGCCTCTGAGACTGAGTCTGAGGCCGAGCACCACAGTGGTGAAGTGAAAATGAAGTCGTGATAAATCACAGAGGAATGCGACGGTCGGCGAGCTACAAAATGA